GGGGGGACAAAGGAAAAATCGCAATAGTCACGTGGTGTAGGTTGTGTGTTGGTTGGGGAGCGTCTTTGCTCTTGGTATCACGTTTCTCTGTCGTTGGGCAAAACGTGTGTGAAAAACTGTGCTATTTGTTATTGGTTCTTGATATGTTATTTTTATACCAACATTTTAGCAACGACAATGGCAATCTTTACATATTTCGAAGGGAGAAATCTGACTTTGTCATTTACTTCTGGAGAAGTTACAGTTTGCTTTATCGAGTCTTTGAGTTGACTGTAAATGATATATTGATAAAATATGGAATCCGCAAAAATTACGAAAGGGTTCGAATTACTTGATAAGACTCCAAGGTGTAATTACGTGAAAAGTGCGCAACGAAGATAGAGAGTATGATAAATCAGCTGTGCCCTGACGGGGTTTGGGGGGGGGGGGGGGTAGGACTTTATGCCTTTGTAATGAATTCTTTTCGGTTTCTTTTCGTGGTGTATGTTATATTAATAACGCTGAAATATTATTATCATCTTCAAACGTAAATTAATGTGCTATAAAGCACAGGCATCGGTGGTATATCTTTCCGATCTGCACTGTATCAAGCCATCTTCTTAAACTGCCAGCACCTGCGCTGTAATGGTTATGCACTTTGACGCACAAATGACAGAACGAAACCAACATTTTATTCCCAGATGATACGAAAAAAAATCTAATGTCTTTTTTGTTTTAATTCTATTGTGTTTCCAAACAATTGAATTATACCGCTTTGCCCTAGTGGGCTGAGATGGGGGAGGACTGAAACCGCCCGCCTCCTAAATAATCAACAAAGTCTCAAGGCAAGTATAAGACGCCCAGTATTTAAGTCAGTTGAGCATAAACTAGAGCAAAGCTAAGTCTTAGTTTAAGTAACAGTGTTATGGCACTTACGACACAATAAGGCCGTAATAATATAAGTCTCGGAGATTATTGGTGTTACACGAGAATAACAAACACAGACAATAAGTAGGAGAGATAAGGGCGTGGGACGTTTGATAGAAAGAAAGAGCAAACAACACTAGAGCCAAATTGCTGCCTCAGAATTACTAAGTTTTATCTGACATTTTCTTTTTTTTTGGGGGGGGGAGGGGGGGCTCTTTTGGGTCACAAAGACCATGAAGTCAGAAACGAAATCGTCTATCTTCTCTATCAAAATCATGCGATTGTTCGTAGTCGTTTTCAAGATATTCAAAAAATTGCATTCGAAACAGCTTATCACGTTGTGACACTCAAAATCTTACCGACCAATTTCTCAAAACTAGGTACTGAACGGATAGAACCTCGTAATTCTGAGACAGCGAAATGTGAGCCCACTGAGCTATGAATATTATGCGTAGTAAGTTCGGAAAGTAGGGCTAGAGTTTAGGCCAAGAGAAAAAAAACCAACTGTCAGCAGACGGCAAAATTGTCTTAGTGAACCTCTCTTTTTTATAACTTTTTTAAAACGTGTTTTTCATCAATGTGAACTGTCAGCAGCACACACACACACACACACACACACACACACACACACACACACACACAAAATTCAATGAAAACAGAGATCGCCCTCCCCCCTTTTCATATTTGCACATGAGCGAAGGCGCTCTCAGCACGTTTTGATTTGAGAGACACATCTGTTAGAGTGTCAAATAGAAGCTTAACGAAGCAGGTAGGGTTTTTCCTCACTTCACCCAGATGGAATGATGGGTACCTGACTATTGACAGCGAAAGATCTTGCCAGTTTGTTAGTGTTACTGTTTGCGCCCGTGCAGTCCAGAGTTGCTCTGTATACTACGACAGAACACGTTCTCGTCCCACAATTTTCATTTTTGAAAAGTCATTGTACCCGTTTTCCTCCCACCCGTTTCCGACCCACATTAATTCGATTACTTATAGGTTACTGCTGTTGC